TGACAATAAAACTTTCTGGAACCAAAAAAAAAAAAAAAGGAATGACAGGAGGCCTGGGTATCTGGCAGACAGCTATGCTCCCTTTCTATTGAGAGAAATAGCACTAGTAAGAACAGACTGGAAGCAGAGCCTAGGGCCAGGGTCTTCTAGGGAAGGGAAGACAGTGCATTGTGGATACTGTTTATGCTGGATGTGCAATGACTCTGGGATACAGGAATGACTCCTGTCTCAGCATCAACATCAGCTCTGGTCTCTGGCCTGCGGTTGATTTGGAGGGGAACAGAAAGAAAGTCAACATCCTGAGCCATGAACATACCTGAGTGCTCACTGCACTCAGAGTTCATTAAGGTAAGCTGGGTCTGGAGACAGCCAGTGAGCCTCCTTTCTGTGGGCTATGACCAACTGCAGGTAGCAAGGAAGTCTTAACCTTCATCAAATGGAAGTGGCCAGCTCACTCAGGGAGCAGTGAACCTGACCAAGTGCCATGAGCTTAGACGTCTCCAGCACTTGGACACAGTTACGAGCAAGGCAGCACCTAATAAAATAATTTGGTTCAGAAATTAAAAGTCTGTGACCTTGGGGGTAATCCAAGGTCTGAGTCCACACAGGTTAAGGGGACTAGAAAGGAGGGGTATGGGGGAAGAAAGCCTTTGAGGAGGGAGACTGAAGCTAAGGGAAGAAAAGGAAAAGGTGAGCTTGGTAAGAGTCCTGAGTCTGTGCCTCCTGCAGCCTCCCAGCCCCTCCTCGGCTGACCCTTGTTGGTGACTCAGAGAACATCTAATCTCATGACCTCTTTTACAGGGAGTGAGAACCAAGGCTCCTTCACATAAAGGGACTGACCCAAGGACTAGTTGGCGGCAGAGGCAGAGTTAGGAGAAGTGACTCATGAAGTCAGTCTGTCTCAGGGTCCTTCCCCTCCTCCACTCATGCTGAGAGGGCACTCTGTGGCAAATGCTGAATGAAGCCGGAAGGCTGCCAAGTCCAGCAACGTGACAAAGCACATCAGAAGGGCATCGCAAGAAATCAGCATGCAGATATCAACATCTTAAAAGATGGCAAAGGATGGTGGGGTGAGAAAGATTAGACAAGGAAACCCACAGCGTTGCTAGATCACGGTCTATGTGGATCACTTGTTAGGGTGAATGTTGTCACATGAACGTTGAAAAAGTTGGACTCTCTGCTTGTATAGCGTTTCTCTCGCTAGCCTGTGAGTCTTGAGGCAGCGTCTATGTGTACCCATCTTTTAGATCTATGGCTTGATCTCTGAGTTGGTACATGTCTGATAAAGAAATGAATGAGTGAATGAATGAATGAGTCAATCAATCAGTGAACAAATGAATGCCAGCAGCTGTGGAGCGCTATCCTGAGCCCTGCCTCTTTCCAGCTATAAACTCAGAGCTAGGAGCTGAAAAACGGGATACTGACAGTATTCACTTCATAAAGCTGTGTCAGGGTTGAACAAGATCAGACATCTACAGTACACAATAAATATTCACTGTTTCTAGGATGGCTATTCTTACAATGCACAACCAAGAAGGACTCAGATTAGATGAGCCTGAAGAACAGCTCACAGCACAGGTAGATGCTTAGGCCGAGATACATTTTGTCTATTTCTTTTCTTACACCCACTTTATTCTCTCTTCCTAACATGTTTGTAATTTCTAATCATCTGTATTTCAAGGCCCATCTCCAGACTGTCCTGTAATGTGAACCTCGTTTAGAGATACCCTAGTCAATATGCATACCTATCCTATCCTTTTTCTTTCTGTTGAGAGATGTATTTTAAACTTCATGGCATCTAGGATGAGCAGGTCAACTGGAGCCATTAAGTGATACTGGCAGCCATGTCATGCATGTGCTCCTCCGGGCCATCTTGAATAGATCAACAGGACAGGTTGGTGATGGTCACTTCCATTTCTGAACATCTTTCGTCTTTGTTTGGACAGGTAAGAGGAGGTAGCAGGCAGGCAGGCCCAATCCATAGTTGGTGTCAGGCCTCTCAGGAAGGTGAACTCTTCATGACGAAGACTGGATATTTGCTAGATGCATGCCATGCCACAAAGACTAGCCTTGGCATTTAGAGTAAAGTGGAACTATAAACCCATCTGATGTTTGTGCCCTCCTTTGGCACTTGCCATATCCTGTCCTTTAATTTACTTAGAAAACTATGAGTCTTCCCAGATTGGCCCTCCCTCTTTATAGGAACCAAGCTGTTGAGTCAGAGCTGGCATCAGAAGACCTTGGGTCTGATCCAGGCAGTGTCCCTTGGGACTGTTTTCCTCATGTGACATGGGAGAAACTCCATGACCTCAGGAATCCCTCACAATACACGGTACACCTATGGCTCTGCTCACCATCCTATCTCATCCATCTAGCCACAGCCTGTCTTTTCAGGCTTCCCTGGTCCTCAGCCTCTAGCCCTAAGACTGTTAGTGGACCTTGCTTTAGGCTGCACACTTGGCTTCCTGTTCTTTAGAGGATATCACAAGAACTTTATGTTGTTGGGCTGGAATCAACATCCCAGCTTCCTCTTCTACCTTCTGACCCTCAGAGTGTGGTTCCTGCCCACCAGGGGACCCCTTATCTCTGGATTCATGGGAGAGCCAACTACATCCTGAAGGTGCAACCTTGGAATATCTGATGCCCATGTATCTTCCTTGGTGACCTGGAGATGTCGTGTTAAAGAAGCCTTGGGCTGTGTAAATCAGTACAGATGCTATGTGAAAGAAACAATAAGCAATAGCTTGTACTTAGACTCATCAGAGAACAGCTCAAAGTCACCTACAGTTTGCCTATGGTTGCCTAGGGTTGCCTATGGTCACCTATGGTGCCTATTGTTGTCTCTGGTTGCCTAGGATATAGGCATGCAGGGTGTTTGAGCTCTGAATCTTCTGTATCACTTTGCTTGTTATTGTGTCAAAATAAGCTGGCAATTTAAGGGAATAAGGATGCCATTTGGCTGCCAGCTTGAGAGTACAGTCCAACTATACTGGGAAGGTATCATAGTAAAACCTGTCTCCAGCTGTGGCAGCAGGAATGTAAGATGGTGAACAACAGTGATTACCTCACAGTCTCCATTTTATTCACTCTAGGACTCTAGCCCATAGATTAGTGCTACCCACATTCAGGATTGCTCTCCCATCCTTAGTAACACCCTCCCAGACATGCCCAGAGCTATGTCTCCTAGGTGGTGCTAAAGCCTGTCAAGGTAACCATGTGGATTACCCATCACATCTCCCAACTAACAGTGAGTGAGAAGCTTTGTTCAGAGAATCAAGTGGAATTGTTTCAATTGTTTCAGCGAAACAATTACAGTAAGACACAGAAGTCTACAGGCTAGGACAATAGTTCTCAACCTATAGGTATAGACCCCCTTGGGGTTGCGTATTAGATGCCCTGCATATCAGATACATTATGATCCATAACAAAATTACAGTTACAGAGTAGCAATGAAATAATTATATGGTTGGGGGCTCACTAAACATAAGAAGCTGCATTAAAAGGTTAGAGCTTTAGGAAGGTTGAAAACCAATAGGATAGGACTTAGGTACACATGAATTTGAATATAGGACCACATAGAAGACCCCCTAAGCAGACAGATTTTAACAATGAGAGGAACTGTTGCTACTGAAAGGAGCTAGACAGAATGAGGCAAGAGAGAGCCATAGCATTTTCTAGGACTGGTCATGACAATGTCTACAAATACTCAGGGCTTGCTGCCTAACCGAAAGAATTATTCAGAGAAAAAGAATCTTCCAATATTATGCAGATTGTCAGGGTTTAAAAATGGGGATCAGGGGTTGGGGAGACAGTTCTGTTGGTAGGATCACTTGTTTTGTAGGTAGGAGAATCTGAGTTTGAAGCCTTGGCACCACATAAAAGGCCAGGCATGACTACCTGTAACTCTAGCATTGTGAGGTAGAGACAAGTGGATCCTGAGAACTCATTGGACAATCAGCCTAGCCAAAAAATGACAATCATACAGCTCTGTGAGATATCTTCTCTCAAGGTAGTAAGACAGAGAATTAAAGGAAAATACCTGTGTCCTGTTCCGTCCTCCTCATGGGTGTTTATGCATGCATGCACCACAACACAAACACACACACAAACACACACACACAAACACAAACACACACAATTTTCCTATCAGCTATCATTTTGAGGAAGGTTAAAAAAATTCTGATCTCAAACAAGAGAAAAAAAGCAGTTAAAAATAACATATATGTATGTATGTATATATATATATTATATTATATTATATTATATTATATTATATTATATTATATTATATTATATTATATATATTCATGATAAATGAGCCTTGATATATATATTCATGGCTAAATGAGCCCAGATACATTAAATATATGCATTATTTAAAATGGAAGTTAAGTTCTGGGGTTGATGTTATGGCTCAGGTGGTAGAATGCTGTCCTAACATTCACAGAGCCTTGGGTTCGACTCAAGAACCACATAAAACTTGGTGTGGCAGTACACACCTATAGTGTGAGCTTTCACCAGGAAGATCAGAACTTCAAGATTATCCTCAGTTACCTGGGAAGGAAAAGAAACACATCTGACTTGCAGTTACCCAACCAGTAACTGAAGGAGCAATTACTCAACTTTTACTTTATGATGCTGTGAGTTGGAGCTCTGAAGTACAGCATTATGGAACCAGGAGGCAATATTTATCAGCTATTGTAGCCAGAAGAGCAAGAACCCAGCAGGAGCAGAATTCCACTCTGCTGAATGCCAGATGGCATTGTATTGAGGGAGAAGGCAGGGGGCATGGCAGTACTGAGATGTGTGGCCACCTGTTGAAGGGTTCCCTGAAGGGAACTGGACTCACAAGGCACCACAGACTCAGGCAGAAACCTTCCTTCTCAGGACAATGCATTCATACTGCTACTTGGTTTCCTTCAAGAGGAACAGAAAAGGTCTCTGAGCAGATTTGCACAACAGGAAAAGCAGGAAATGAACAGCCATGCAGACTTGCTTACCCTCGTTGGGTTCCTGGAAGCCATTACCTGGGCAGGGACCAAGGATAGCCTGGCAATGGTATTTGTATCCTTTTTCATGGCAGCTGGCATTGAGGTGTCTTCATTTTCTCCCTAGCACAAAAGATGTCAGGTATAACTCAATAGCTAAGGTAGTTGTTAGTCTGCTTTTCGAAAGCAGAACCAGGACAGTTGTACACTCCTTAGTGTTGCTTGGTGTTCTAATTGTTACAGAGGGATATCCATGTCTTTCCATAGTTAATGCAGACTTGTATTTTCCTTTGCAGTGGAGTTTAATAATTCCAGCACTGATTAGTGTTGGTGTCAGGGCTCTGCCAGGGTAAAGTGAGCTGCTGGTAGCAGTCTAGAGATGGTAACTTCAAATCCCTTCTTCACATATGCTGAGTAGAGAGCTACTTGTCTGAGTCTCCATTTCCTTCCTTTTTCTCTCCCCTCTGTTTTAAAATCTCTATTTCTATAATATGAGAACACTGGGCTAGATCAAATCCCAGATGCTCCCTCAAGAGCCTTAGGTTCTGACTACAGACTCTACTCCAGTTTTTGACATTGGGTACTAAAATCACAGTATGGAAAGGCTGGTGATCAAGTTACTAGATGGTGGCATTGAACACATTGGGCAAAATGAGTGTGCACTCCAGCCTGGTCAATTCTTATTTGTCTTATTTTTTGTGCTTGTGCATGTACAGGCTAGGTCATGGCCTCGGTTGCAATCCTTCTGTCTACTTTGTTGGTGGTTTGTTTTTTAGACAAGGTCTTTCATTGGTCTGGAACTCACAAAGTAAGTTAGGCTGGCTGGCCAGTGTGTCTCAGCCCAGGGATGACAAGTGTGTAGCACCTCGCCCAGCTTTTAAAGATGTGAGTTCTGGGGATCAAACACAGGTCCCCATGCCTGCAGGGCATCTCCTAGCCCCATATTATAGACTTCTTGATGAGAAACATCAAAAGTATGGTCCCCCCCTCTCTGAGGCTTTTAAGGTCTACTTAACAAAAGGCATTGTTGCACAGATACTTGAGAATAACTTTAAAGGAGAAAATGTGGATTAATCACTATATATTGGAGCTGTTGATAACAAAGGCCTTTGCTACCTTACATAAGTAGGTGAGGTAAAGTCATGACCAAAGAGATGAGAGCAATGGTTATATGATTCCAATCAGCTATATGATTTCATATGGGGTTTAAGGCCCAGAGAATGCTTAGCACTTAGCAAAAACATTGTTTTTCTCTCTATCTTTAAAAGAAATTTTAGGCAAATTCTTTATCAACGCATTGCCTGCAATAACATTAAAAGTCAAGATCTAGGGGCTCAGTGGGCACAGTGTTTATACCAGCATGGGGTCCTGAGTTCAGATCCCGTGTAATAGCTGAGCACAGCTCTGTGTATTTAAAAATTAAACCCAACACTGAGGTAAGTGGGGAGAGATAAATGGATCCCAGAAATCTGTTGGCCAGCCAGACTAACTGAAATAGTGAGGTCTGGGTTCAGTGAGAGACCCTGTCTCAAAAACGAGGTGAAGAGGAACAGAAGAAGACTTCTGATGTCAATCTCTGGTCTCCACATGCACACACATGGGTGCATACAACTGTGCATACATGTGTACATGCACACATATGCACACACATGCTCACACACATACAAATAGAGAGACAGAGACAGAGAGAGATGGAGAGAGGGAGTGAGAGAGAGATATGGAGAGATAGAGAGAGGGAGAGAGGGAGAAAGAGTCATGGTCACCATGACATGGCTGTCATGAATCTGGCCAAAGGCTGAAGCTCTATTGGAGCCATCCTGCTCTCAGAAGCTTCTGGCTCAGGATTTTGCCAACACTGCTTGGAGTCAGAGCCTCAGGGCCTAGCTGCCTCTGTGTCACTGCCAGTTCTCAGCAAAGGCCATTTTGGAGCCCACCCTCAGCAAATGGGCAGAAGGCCTGAGGCTAGCTCTTCCTAACGGCCTGACTTGGCAGTGTGGACAGGGAATACCAGTAACGGTATTTTCAGTCCGGCTTCTCTACCCCATTGTGCTTCCATTTTCCTTTCCAGGCAACCTCAGTCATGGCACCTACTACTCCTATAACCACATGTGGTACGAAACATGCCGTTAGGAAACCTCAGCTTTCACCAGAAGCAGCTATCATCTGGGGCGGTTCAGAAATAACACACCTATTTAAAGATGGGCACATGGCAAGGATGCATGCTGAGGCTCACCAGAAACTGTTCAGCTGGCATGCCACTCACTTCAAATGTCTCTTCTGTACTCTCCTCCTCATTTAAATAAGTGACATATAAATTATGTCTATTTGAAGTTATCTTACTAACTTTCTAAAAATTTTCCTACTTGATTCCTCATTGTGCTTAACACTAAAAATGAAAGCTTTCTCCACATGTATATATGTGTGTGTGTGTGCATGTGTGCGCGCACGCGCGCGTGTGTGTGTGTGTATTCACATTTTATAAAAAGATCTTTTTTATAGAAAGAAATAAGCAAAAATTGACTTGATCTCTTTCCAAAAATGAGAATTGTTTTACTTTCTTTTGATATTTTAAACACAAAGTATATACTTGGTGGAAGAAAAATACCCATCCATACACAGAACACACACATTTGTTTCTTAGTCTTGATATCACGTAGTAGTCACTTGGGAGTTTGTTTTTAAAACCCAAGGCCTGGTTCCCAGCTGAAGAGACTGACCTGGGCTGGGACTTGGGAATCAATTCTGACTTTAAAACTCCCAGAGTAGTTAGTCTACAGCTAGTCTCAGGAAGCATTGACTTACAGAAAATCACGAGTCTGAACATCAGCCCCACATGCCGCTCCTTGGATAGGACCCCTCTTGGTTTGTAGAGACGCTAATGGAGAAGTGATCAGTGTGAGTTGTGGTGACCTGGTCAAAGAGAGGAAACAGTGGAACCCACTTGTGTCAAGAGCACCAGTTTAGGTCGACCAGGTTTTTAGTCCTAAAAGAGAGCATCATCCCACTGTCACTATCCCCTTCAGGAGCACATTTCCCATGATGTGTGTGGCACTGCCTGTCCTTGCTTCCTATAGCCCTGTAGAGGCCACCAAAGCAAACATGCAGGCAGCAGGTAACTCTGTAAGTCAAGACTCAGAGTAATCAAAATGGGGGGTGTGGTGATGGATACCGAGATATGGGGAAAACTGCAGAGGATCCAGACCAACCTGTTCATCGTCTTCAGCTGTTCCACATACCCACCATACAGAATGCTGAGCCAGACCCAGAGCCTCTTCTGTGCTGAGAATGCTGGCCGTCTCAAGGCAAGGACATGACTGGAAGGTCCAGAAATCATAGACGAAAGTGTAAGCATCAGAGGGGAAGGGAGGGGACTGGAGATGAGCTGGGAAAGGAATAAGGCAAGGGATCCCTCTTGCCTCTGTTCTCTCCTGGCTGCCAGGAGCCAGCCACCTGCTCATCAAGATTAACCCGTTCAGCTCTTCCACTGTTCTGCGGTATTCATGCACTGGAGTAGAGCGCTATTGACTGAGACCCACAGGCCTTATCCTCTTAGAGCATCACACAAGAAGGGGGTGAGGGGGGAATGTGTTAAGTCATTTAACAAAGTCACTCACCACACAGCCTGAATGTGTAAAAATATTCTTTAAATGTCTCTTTATTAATCTCAGGTCCTTTGTTAATTTCCATTTTTGTCCCCAGAAACTCACTTCTGGCTGTCAAGTTAAATGCTCAGCTCAGACATGTAGTTAACAACCATGGCCACCTTTGAGAGCGAGTAGGTGGTCCAGCATACTTTTGAAGTCACAGAAAGCCACCATGTTTCATCCTGCAGAGCACAGTTCTTTCCAGGTAGGGTGTGGCAGACATGGTTGGTACTTCTTTAGCCGTCATTCCCTTGTTTGCCAGGCCAAAAGAGATGTCCCCAGGAACTAGCAATAAGTCATGACTCGGGAAAGGGCCTTCCCTGAAGGAGCCTTTTAGGCAGGTTGTTTCTAATTGCCTCTCTTCTTAACAGTGTGTACCATCAGCATACTACGCCCTCAGTGTGTGTGTGTGTGTGTGTGTGTGTGTGTGTGTGTGTGTGTGTTTCTATGACCCCCAAGACCAATTTCCACTCTCTGCAGAAGATGAATGTTTTAAGTTATCAAAGAGATTTTTTTTTTTGCTTTTGCTAATGATTGGCAATTGTCATCTGACCCTGTTCTGGTCTGTGAAACATGAAAAAATCCTGTTTGAGGAAGACTTTCTCAATAAGAGATGTCAATGGAAACCACCCTAAGGGTTAACATCCGGTCAAACTGGCAGGATCTAGAGTCACCTGGCAGACATGCCTGGGAAGACTTAGATTAGGTTAACTGAGATGGGAAGCCTACTCTGAGGCTGGACTCAATTGTGCCCTGTGTTGAGGCTCGTGAAAAAAGGAGTTGGGCACCAGCACTCGCCACCCTCTGTTTCTTGAATGTGAGTGCAATTTGAGCAGCTACCTCAAGCACCTTCCATCATGACTTCCTCACCATAACTATCCACTGGGTGAGCCAACATAAACCAGCCATTCTTGTCAGGCAAGAAGACAGTAACAGCCACAAAACAAGTTACTAATGCAATGACTTCTGACACTTACTTCCACTTTGGGGAGGTCTTCTGTGAGATCTTGGAATTATGGCCACCATCTTGTGACCGTGTGATGACAGATGGGAAGGACAGGGGAAACCTATGCCCCTCTGAAGTCACTGGGTACACGAAACAATTGTAACTACTGTCTGCTCCAGACTTAGTGCTCAGAGTGAGAGAATTTATTTGTGCTTCAGTTCATTCCTGGTTGGGTATTTTGGGACTTACAACCCAAAGCCTCCTAACTGATAAATGGAGTTTCTGTTGCTAAGAAAGGATCTTTGTGTTTCAGTAGAGCATGCATAGAGGCAGGATTGAACCCGAAAGACAGAGGGATGGCGGCCTTGGTGGGATTGCCAGCATTTGGGTACTAATGGACTATGTGGCTCAACATCAGGAGAGCAGCAGCCTGGGAGGCTGTGCTCAGTCACCGCCACCGCCATACACAGGCTCTCCTTTATGTCAGGGCTCCACAGGAAAGGGAAAGAATTTTTTTTCTTTTTGAGTCCTTGTATCTTACAAAATAAATGAGCAAGGATACAGGGATTTTCTAGCTCAGAGTACTTTTCTGGGAACACTGTCTCTCAGATAATAGCTCTTTTGTTCTTGTATCTGACCCATCGGATCAGGGAGTAAGGTTGTGCACACCCTCAGCAAAGAGTACTCCCTACGCCCTCCCCGTGCGCATTCCTTCATTGCTTGCTCTTAGCACCCGTATGTTTTTCTCTGCCCTCACTGAGAGTGCCTTCAGTGTGGGGCTGGTAAGGCCGAAGGCCTAGCCACACTGAGCACTGTGCTTCCATTATGCAGTCATGTCTTCTATGAGAAGCCAGGTCCTAGCTGTCAAGTTGAGGTATCGTTGAGCAAAGACATGGGGCATGAAAGTTGAAGCAGATCTTTTGGGTAAGAGGTTCACAGAGGTAAGCATGGGCCAGTTATTGGCTTCACAGAGAGTAGCCAAGGGTCTTCCCCACAATAGCAAGATGTGGCAGATGCTAGGACGTCCGGCTCAGTGACCCCTGTCACTGCAGCCTAGAGATGCATTCAGCTGTGCTCTTCTGGGATGCCCCAAACTATCATGCACAGCCACAATCATTTGTATATTTGAGAAGCTGAATTGCAAGCCTCTAAAAAGCTGGGATCCTGACACACCTATCTGGAATTCCTTGTGGCACACATCCCCCCACTCCCTACCCCTCCTGCCCCACCCTGCCAGGCCTCCAACAATCAGTCAGCTGATTTCTAAACAGCTGATGTGGTGAAGAGCCCAGAGGCAAAGCCATGCTCTACTGAGAGGTTTGGGGAACACTGGATCTCAGTGTGTGTGTGTGTGTGTGTGTGTGTGTGTGTGTGTGTGTGTTTTAATTTGTCTTGTTTTTAAAAACATTGCTCCTAAACTGCCCTAGCTTAATGTGTGGAAATGTTCACAGCAGCCACAGAACTTTGACTCCCCCCTGTTTGCAGTTATAAGTATCAAGATCAGAATCATATGATCCCAAGGCTAGAAAATGTTCTGTATTTCAGGCTCATCTTCAACTTTTTTTGTAAATGTTTCTTTTGTTATTTGGTGTTTATTTGTTAGTTTTAAGACAAAGTCTTTCTATGACTCCCTATGTATGTAGCCCAGGCTGGCCTCTAATTCCTCATCCTCTACCTTGTTCTCCAGAGGGCTAGGATTATACGCATTTACCACCCATCAGGCCTGGTAACTGCTTCCTTTGGAACAAACCCTCTATTTAGCCAGGCAGAAGTTGATGAGTAGATGCTGCCTTACATCTGAGTGGAGAGCCTCGCCACCCTGCTCTGCCTGCTCCTTGCAGTCCTCGGTGCTGGGATTTCTTTCCTAGGCACATTCCCCAGGCTTCTCCCTGCTGTGCTAGGCAATGAGGAAAACAATTTACTTGTGTGTTTTTGATTCTCTAGATGTTAGCAGGGAAGGAACTGCCGCGATGGTAGGACACAACATTGAGGGACACAAGATCATAAACAAGACAATATTAAATACCTTGCTATAAGCATTTGGTAGACTGTGGAGAGAGAAGAGAGCTAAGAGGCACTCCTGTGACCAGCAGGTTGGTTTCCCTCACACACTACCTGATCAGTTTTACGAAAATCTCTTCCATTTTATTTTCTCACTAGTTACATCAAATTATTGTATAATCGTCTTAATTGGAATTACAGGGTTGGCTGAGGAAGTCTCAGGTCTAACTTCTAGTCCTATAATAAAACTCTAAATGTGTAGGATGACACAGAGGGCAGCGAGACCACAGCATGCTGTAGAGGCAGTTCTCACGGTAAACATGAGACCGAACTCTGCCTGGCGCCTGATAAGCTCTGCTAATTTCGACTCACAGAGACAAGATGCCAAAGGAATTATGAGTTCTAGCTAGCTCATATAAAACGGCAGACAAGCCATAAACGTAAAAGGTGGGGCAGGTTTTTCGATATTCTAACTGATTTCTCACCATATGTCCCTTGTTACTTCCTGTTGTTCTGGCCACATGCTCATGGTCCATCTCCTGTCATGGAGGCCTCCTCCAGTCTCTGTGTCCTTTCTGTTCCCATTTTGCCTCTCCTGAGACACCCAACTTGATCCTCAAGTTCCACCCATCTCCCTCTCCTGCACAGTCACAGGCTCTAGCCTTTTATTGGCCAGTTAAATTAGGGAGCAAGGTTTACATAGCATCACTTGGTGTACATGAAGATCTGCTCATTGGGGACAACCAGATCCTGGAAGCCAGTATCTAGCATTTAAATACAAGCAGCACCAGACCAACCTACTACGACAAGAAGATGTAGAGGATGCCAATTCTCACTTTACATGAGAGGAAGCTGGGATCCAGAGCAGTAAAATACTCAAAATGATACACCTAGTAAAAGACATAGCCAGGATTTGAGATGCTTAGGCAGTCTGAGCGCACTATGGAGGGTGCTATGGGTATCCAAGCCTCCAGGCAGAAGCAAGGCTGTGTTCCCTTTAGCAATCTTTCCAGGGAGTGGAGGCCAAAACTACGGGGTCCCTAAGGCTGCAGAATAGATTAAGTATAAGCAGCAGAAGAGGGAAGGGAAGGGATGGGGGAGGGGCAGAGCTGGAGGAGGAAGAAGAAGAGGAAAAGGAGGGCTACTCTTCTGTTTGGGGCACGCACATACCTTGCCGATTAGCAACGATGGGAAAGGAAACACACAGTGAGAGCCCTTGACAGCTTAATGGGGTTTTAGAAAAATACACATTTATATTTTTAAACTTTTTTTTCCATTTGAACATTTTTAACTTCAAGTTCTGGACTGAAATAGCAACTGTTTTTGATAACTCTCCATCCTTAGGCTCCCACGTTTGGAAAAGGTCTCAGCCAGGCCTGGAGTAAAGAAAGAGGCAGGAAGACAAGCTTAGCACATAGAGAATGCAGCTGGCACATAGGTCTTAAAATGTTTACTGAGCAGCTGATTGGACAGATGAAATGTGGACAGATTGAAGGATGATGACTGGATGGACAGATAGACACATACATGCATAGAAAGACTGATAAATGGATAGCTGACAGGACAGCTAGATGGATAATGGGTGAAAGTGAGGAAGGTGGATGCATGGACACACGGATGGATGGCCAGGTGGACGGATGGATGTACAGGGGGATGGATGGATGGATGGATGGATGGATGGATAAATGAGCAATTAAATAAAGAAAAGGGTTATAAGAAATTTAACAAAAACCAGTTGACTCCTACTATCCTCCTGAAATGTAAGAATAGCTCTCTGTAGAGAAATATACTTGACTTTTGCCAATAAGCATGCACAGTGTTTATATCAGCTTCCCATAGGTACTATGATCAGGCCTCATGGAATTAGCCTATGCCAACCCGACAGATAAAATGCCACTCCTGAGTCAGCTGAAATCCACAAGCCCGTCTACCAATGCCCTCTAACAAAATAGATCACTCGCACCTTTTGTAAACATAAACTTTGTAAGTAGACTATAAACAGTTGTAAACACACTATTACCACAAAGCTGATAAGCTTTCAATTCACTTACATCTTACCTTCCTCCATTACAGAATGAAAAGACAATGACCCAGATGCGCATCCCCCTTCAGGTAAGGAGCCAGGAGACATCATCCTAGCTGTTTCAAAGTAGCCCGAAGTCCTTAGGGCAAGTTTGCCATCAAAATAAATGGGCAAAGCTTTGCCTGTCATTTTCTCCTTTTTTTGCCTGGAGCTCTGATGCTGTGTCTGGAGATACAGCAAGCAACTTATGACAAAGAAGACAAATGCCTTCATCTAAGGATGCCAGAGAACAGAGATACAAAGCCTAGGTCCCTGATAGTGCCATTAACCGGCCATGCTAGCTTTCTTATTCTAGGAGAGGGATGAGCTAGAGAGATGGGTTAGACCCATCTGCTGCCCTCTGTTAAACGTAACCCTAACAGCTCTGGCGCATCTTCTCATCTTAGACTTCTACGGGAGACGCTGTACGGGTGGAGCACTACGGGTGGAGCACATGCTCTAGAATGCCACTTCCTGTCCCTGCCCTGGCTGAGTTTTTGTCTTTCCTTCTGGAGGTTCTGTCTGCTTTTTGCAATGAAAGGCTGAGGTTAAACCTTGGCGTGTGCTACTTCCTGCTTTGGCTGCCATGAACTACCTGCATCTTTGGGCATCTCACTCTGAACTTCTGGGTTTGCACCCACAGCACACTACAGAGAATGAAAAGAAGACGACGACACAGATGCCCATCCTCCTGCAGGTAAGGAGCCAGGAGACAGATTCCTGTCTGTTTCAAAGTAGCCTGAAGTCCTTAGGGCAAGTTTGCCATCAAAATAAACGGGCAAAACTTTGTCACTACAGCACAAGTATAGTCAGTCACCTCCACATACAGACTTTGGGGGCATTCAGACAGGATGGCATTAAGTGTGTGACACAATAATCTTCTTATTTGTACAGCTTTTGTCCTTGTCCTATCCTGATGACCCATCTTCCCTCTCTTCCACAGCATTTATGAAGCAGCTCCTAGGCACTGAGCTAGCCTCACACCCTGACTTACAATACGCAAACTTCAGCTCAGGACAGTCTTACTTGTCTCACCCTTAATGACTCTTTCACTTAAGCTTTTCCCTCAGATTCTCAAAGCTTTCACATACATTCGCCACGTCAACCCACAGTGTCACTGGTGGCACTTTCTCTGCCTGAGGAAAATAGTTGCTGTCCTTAATTCACTGCATTGAAGAAGCCACAGGATGCTCCCAGATGGTTCCGAGAACTGGGTGGTGCTGGGTGCAGCCAGCACAGTGGCATCGCCTGAGCTGAGCCTGCATTTATAGCCTGGCAGCTCACTTGGGGGATTCTAGGTTGCAGCTTTGGATAGAGCCTTCCCTGTGCTCAGAGGGAAGACATTCCTCCCTTGGTGGGAGCCTGTCTCCTGGCGCCCCCTCCCCCACTCTCCTACTTGTCGGCTTCCTGGATGCATGGTTTGCTGCAATCAGGGTCAGCATTCATTCCCTGCAGCTCTTTCTCTGGAGCACAGCGTGGAGACTGTGGAAGGCCCTGCCCATCCTCACAACCCTTCCTGATTCTCTGACCACTAAATGTGCCATCAGACAGTCCCCACCCCCACCCAGCTGACCTCAAAGGGAGTGAGGGCAGAGGGCAGAAATAACTCATGAGAACCAGAAACAAAACCCCAATAGAGCCTCACATGGAAACAGCTCAGGGAAAAAGAGTCCCAGGGAGCCTGGGCTATTAATAACATCGTGCAAGCTTCAGCCCTTCCTTCTCCCAGGAGCAAGTTAGGCCTGCTCACAGTCAGGCATGTTGATTCTTGGGAAGGCCCCAGATGGCCAGGTAAAATGTGCATCTTACCCTGTTCAGTAGATAAACACATCATCTCTCTTGTCCTCAATTGGTTGGAAGTACTGTTCCTTTATATTTACCATCATGGACCTTGGGAACATAGAACTACCAGCTTTGGTCCTATAAACTGATAAGAGACAGACAGACAGACAGACAGATAGACAGGGTAAGGGGGAGCACAAAGAGCCATAGGGTAGTCCCAAGTATTTCCCATGGACTTTGACTGACACCAGACTTCGTTCTCTGTAGAGATACAAAGGAGCTCACAATTGCACACTTTGTAGCCATCCTTCTGCCATTTGCAGTGTGGTCCAAAGTCACTCTCCTTCTGGCCAAGAAATACCATCTATCCCTCTCAAGGAACAGAAACCAAAACCAGGATTAGGTAACCTTGAACTTTCTGGTAGAAGCCATTTTGACCAGAGGAAGAAGAAGCAAGCAGCGTTTGGATTATCTGCTAAACTAAGCAGCCATGCTTAAGAAATCTTTTGAGCAAGGAGACATTAGAGAAAATGCAGTCTAGAAAGTTGGCAGCCTGACTTGAAAGCATTACGTGGGCCTCAGGGGACACCGCTAGAGGGCTGCCTCCATTTCTCACATTCTCTTATGGTGCAGACCTGGCTTTATTTTGAGTTACCTATGTATATAGGATGTTGTTTGAGGGGCTATAAATTCCTCAGTATCTAAGAAAATGCACCTAACAGCCCAGTCCATGGAACCAGACTCTCGCTGACCTTAGGACAAGTTACTAATTGTTTGTGATTCGGTTTTCCCATCTGTAAAATGGGCTGGTGAGTATAGTACTCACTTTATTAGATTCTTTAAAAGGATTAAAAGGAGTTCATATACAGAAGTCATATAAAACAGTGGCAGCTATTTTTAAGTGCTTAGCATGTAAATTCAATGGTTATTAGTATGAGTATCATTGTTATTCTTGCTAAAGGTCTCATTCAGACTCAAAACCTGCCTGGGAGACAATTGCTCAGAACTGTGAATTGTGTTAGAAAGGGGAAAGGGGGAAATGAGAAGCTTCGAGTGGGTAGATTAAGAAGGCTAGTTCACACCGTTGCTTCTCCACTTCCGGGGCTCTAACTGTAGACTCAGCATATAGAATCATGAGTAGAGCCGGGCGGTGGTGGCACACGCCTTTAATCCCAGCACTTGGGAGGCAGAGGCAGGTGGATTTCTGAGTTCGGGGCCAGCCTGGTCTACAGAGTTAGTTCCGGGACAGCCAGGACTACACAGAGAAACTCTGTCCTGAAAAACCAAAAAAAAAAAAAAAAAGAATCATGAGTAGAAGCATCCTGCTCCTGGGATAGGCTGGATGTGACTGCGGTCATTCTACACTCACATGGCGCTAGAGGCCATGCTGAGCTGCTGGCGTCAGTATTGTGTTCTGTCTGTGTGTATCTGTGTGTCCACGTGAATGTGTATGTGTTCCTGGGCTTGTGGGTATGTGTGTGTCTCTATGGGCTTGTCAAAGTGTCCTGGGGTGATACATCCTAGCAAGAGGGCTGCCAAGCACACTCTCCGTTACCAAACACACTCTCCATTTGTTTTTAAGGAGGATGGGAGGAGGGAACCAACTCCTGTGTGGGCTTTGCTCTTCCCAGACCTCTGACCCAAGTCAGGAATTCTGCGAAGTGTTATATATTCTCCATTATTTATGTAGCAAGTCAGGAGGAGCAAACATAGTGCAGTCATGATCCAGGAGAGCCAAGACAGTGACATTTACTGAGGTTGTCCTGCACCACGTTCCATTCTGAACATATTCTACCTCACTTAAACCTCACAGTTGGTCGCATGGTGGTACAAACTTCTAATTCCAGCCCCTTAAGGAGCTGGTACAGAGAGGTTGCAAGTTCAAGAGCCACCTGGGCTTTAGAATGGGGGTACAGTCTGCCTGTGCCACTTAGACCCTATCTCAAAATAAAATTTAAAAAGTAGGGCTAGGAATATTTTTGGTGATCCACTAGAACCAGATGGTAAGACCTCATGGACATGAACAGCATATATTTTGGTTGCAGGACGTGAAGAAGTTAAGCTTGAACTGAACTAGAAGCTTCTTTCTTTCTGGATAGCTTTCATAGTTCCAGAAGGTGCTATGAAGGCTACTGGGGAGGACTTACTGACAAATCTTCTATAGTGGGAAATGCTGAGTTACAATACCAACTTACGAGGCAAGGTGTGCCCTCTGGTACACTAGTGGCACAACTGACCATTGGGGGTGGGGTGACCACCCACATTCTGATTGGATTTGAGGTCTATCCATAGAGAGAATCCGTGCATGGTACTGCAAACTTGGTCAAAAACCAATAGCTGAGGAGGTGATCAGGTCTAGATAGGAACCTATTACTGTAGTTTGCTAAACAGGAATGGTGTCGACTGCTTTCTAAATATTCATGTTTTTACCCCTAGGTTAGTGTTGTTCTCAGCCTTGATCAGAGAATTGGGCAATAGTTAATAAAGAGACTCAAAGTGCTGATCAAAGTGCTGAGAAGAAGGTTTCTGAGGTGGTTCAGTGAAGAAAAACACTTGCCACTCAGCCTGAAAATCTGAATTTGACTCCTGGGACTCACATGGTTGTCCTGTGACTTTTACATGTGCACTGTAAAGTGCACACATGTGCTCATGAGAGCACACACACACAAACACGCACATGCACACGCACACACATCAAATAAGTAAATAAGTACACAATTTATTATAAGTAATAAATGCTAAGACTGAGTAACTGCTGAGTCTCAGCCCTAAACAAGACATCTATATAACTCCTCCCATGACTCATGCACATAACGGAAGAGAGAGCTGGCAGACAGGAAGACAGGCAGCGGATCTGTTTTCTGGGTATAACATCAGTGGACCCGTGAACTCAGAGCAGCAGTAGCTAGCTGGTAAGATTGGGCCTGTCAGCATTCCATCGTGGATTTAGGAAGTGCTCATACACTATAAGCTCTCAATGCTGGGGGAGAGGGAAGCAGATTTCTCAGTGGTCTAGTCATTGGCAAGTTGCCACTGGCCCAGTGAATAAACTCCCACCCAATTAATGCAGTAGACATGCACAGACATACAAAAGACACGAAAGTAGGAGAGGAACTTCTTGGGCAGAAGAAAGGGTTTAGCGAAAGGGGAAGAAAATAAGAGAAGATAATGTGGGGATATAATCAAAGCACTGTATATGTATGTATATTAAAAACTATGTGTGATGGTTTGTATATGCTTGGCCGAGGGAGTGGCACTATTAGAAGGTGTGACCCTGTTGGAGTAGGTGTGTCACTGTGGGTATGTATTCTGCTAGCAGCCTTCAGATGAACTCTCAGCTCCTCCTGTACCATGCCTGCCTGGATGTTGCCATGCCCCCGCCTTGATGATAATGGACTGAACCACTGAACCTGTAAGCCAGCCCCAATTAAATGTTGTCCT